GGAATCACTTGATCTGCAAGGATCAATTTTAAAGTGGATTATGATAATACTAATGCTTTACTATCATTCCATGTTCACAGTTACAAAACATCTTTGAGAAGGCCCGTTGTAACCCATTCTTAGGTAGATCAAACTGGGATAAATTCATTTGAAGAAAGTCTGTTTTGGCTTAGTTCCTAGTAAACCATGAGATGATTGGATATATGAATTATTGCTTATGATATATTAATTAAGCCACTGTGATTTTCATGGTTTATGGCTTAATATAAGACAAACCATTATGGCTTCCACAAAATGGTTTAGCATACCAGTGAGTTCGTGGTTTGGATAGAATTAGGACCCAACTCCCCCACTTTTATCTCTGGTACTTATGAATAATCTTCTTCCGGAGATATTTGAATAACAGTGGCAAACAGTTTGATGTATGGGAACAGGTGGTTTGTCCCTCAGATGTGTGGGGACTGAAATTTCCAGAATAGTGGCTAAAAGCTTCAGTCTTAAGACATCAGGAGAGAGGCAGGTGGAGAAAGCCACCCTAAGATAATAAAATTCTAACTTTACAATAATCATATTGATGCAGCACAATCTGTGATGCCATGAAAAGTAGCGGCCTACTTGTTAAAAGCTTTCTAATAAATTAGAAATTAAGTAGCACTTTTTACTGGCTACTCTCTAAGAAGGAATAAGTTCCATCAACAAACTTTTGTGTACATTAGTCAGCTGACAGTAACTTTTGCTTACTGGGTTTTTCCTGAGATAAATATTTGCAGTGTGATATAAAGAGAATGGGATGGGATGTCAGTTATACTACCTATACAACCCTGTGTCTATTTGTGGCATAATAATACAGATGCTCAGAGTGAAACTAACATACTCTTTCATGCACCTTATATGTACCCTTTCCTAAGGCAAGTATGTAACGACACCCCAGAGAAAATATATGTTGCAGCCATAAAATTCTGGTTGTTCTTAGCAATTAAAAATCACTCAAGCGAACATTAGATTTTTGAAACGAGTACTGTGAAATGGAAACTTCAAAAATCTATAAATACATTCTTCGAAGTTGAAGGTAATATTTCCTGAGAAGGTCCATTTTAGATGCTCGGAGAATTTCAGCTCTTCCTTGAATTGTCATAAGAAATGTGCTTCCTTTCACTTTACCTGCCACATACTTCCAACTCTGGATTGAATCCAGATATCCCAGTGGTTACAGGGTCAAAGAGAAGTACCTTTAAGAACTCACTCAACATAGTTGTAGTGTTTTGTTTTCTATAACTTTTTTGAACTAGGAGGCCTACTGTGACAGAATGTGAGAATTATATGGCTATTAATAACTTTTGATTGTAGATACCTTACTTAACAATATGATCTGTTGAGTATATCTGTGAGTATTTTGCACTTTTGAGTTCATATATTTCTGCACTTGTTTTAAGAGTATGTCATGATTACCAAAGGTAAAAATTGTCATGGTGTTAATTCAGACCTGAGATTCAGTGTACATGTGCTTATGCCAATAGGCTATTATGATTTAACCACAATTCAGCAGTTTCCCATATAGAACTAGATTAGTAACAAGTGTAGAATTTCTTTGGTAGCCTCACCCATACATTGTGTAGCTATTTTTGCAGCCTGATTCTCTTAATAGCACTTAAAATGTATTTCATCCAACTATAAATTTATATTTGAACCATATTCTGTTTAAAAGTATCAATATATTTGGATAAATGTGTCAACCTAAGTTCATTTAAAATATATATAAAATCAGACTATTTGGGAAACTGATTGTTGGTTTGTTTTTTTGCTTGCTTTTGTAAATATATGTATAACAATCTTGTATCAATTAGTCCATCCTGTTCCAATTTCAATAATAGACTTAGTATCAATCTTTATACATGGAAAAGTCTGTTGCTGTTTATTCAACTTCAGTTTTGTTTGTGACATGGAGTGTGAATAAAACTTTGGCATGGTTCAGAGGGTCATATATGTATTTAATAAACTGATACAAATAAGCCTTTTGCCTATGTATGCGGATTGCAGTTCCACATAACTGCTTAACCAGTCTTAGAATAAAATTGAAGTATGAAAATCAGCTTTATGGTTTCATACACTGGTTGTTCTAAAACATATACTCATATGCTGGATTTAGTAAAATGGAATACACCAATTAATTTGACATTTTTCCCATTGACCTACTGAATAAAATACAGTACTTAAGTGTTGTAAAAATGCTGAGTAATTATTCAGTAAGATATATAAGAATGAGGAAAAAAGGCTCATGTGTCTGTTTGTTTACTAAAGTAATGTGACCATCTGAATGCAGCCATTTTTACATATGATTTATAGCAATATTTGACCATAGTTTTGAAGTAGGCTGAACCAGTAAATCAGTCTTTAACAAAAATGACACCACAGTTAACTGGAATTCTGAAGTGATGGTTAAAGCCAGCTATTTATGGTCTTATGATCTGCAGCTGAAATGTCTTGAGAGAAATCCAATATTTTCTATAATAAAAGTAGCATTGTTATTTGTAATAAAGTGATTTGTCCTAATGTTTTTGTTTTTTTTTAAACCTATAGTATTAGTTAAATCAATGCAACTTTCAATAGTAATAATTATATTTAGAAATAAACGTTTCACATATTCACATTGCAGAGTGGAGTTTAGTGTTCTAAGAAGCTAAATCCTGCAATATGTTATTTTGGCTTTAGTGCAGGGGAAAACAAGGTGATCTGTGTGGGGTTGATTTTTAAGTATAATAAAACTTTATGATTATCTCAACTCAACCTGAATCATGTGAACAAATCTAATTAAGCTGTGGATAGAGATGTAGAATGTTTAAATACACCTCAAGTTTAGCATGTTAGATTTGCTTCATTTCTTAAACAGATTTAATACCGCAAGTTCAGTATTTATAATAGGATTGATATTAATACTATAATCCGGATAGTTACATTTATCACAAAGCCCATGTTTAACTATAGAACCAATAAAACGCTGAACAGATTTCCCCCCCTTCTAGGAATTCAAGGGAGCATATTTTTTTCTCTCTTTATCACCTTGTGAAATAAGTTGAGCTGAAAGTAACTGGCTCAAAGTAATAAAGTGATCCTTTGTGGCTGCAAGTGGATTTGCATCTCCACTGTCTTAGTAAGTGCACTGCAAATTCATATATGCAAGCTTGTTTATCAAATGTTTGGTAGCTTCATAAATGTGTCTCTTTACTGGATTGCTACACTTCAATTTCATTTGAGACTTGTATTGCACAATGCAATGACTTAAGCTTTATTAAAAGGTAATTATTCACATTTTTCCCAAATCACTTAATCAGTTTGATTTCACATGAGGTGAATCATGTTAATTCTGATTATAACATTTGATAACCAATATCAAATAAATTAACTTTCTAGAAAATTAATTTGGTAATTTGCATTCCAAGTTTCCAACAGCTTTTCAGATTCTCCCACATTTGTTTTTATTGCACCATATCTACAGCTTTCCAAAAACAAAAATGTGTATTAATTTCTCTTAACCTGTTGCAACTAATGAGATGCTTTCTCTATTGGTGCTATTTTTTTAAATAAATCATCTTGGATGATAATATCCCAAATGTGCTTTTTCAGGAGGAAACTGGACTTTCATGTTTTTTCTTTGAAGATGTTTCGTTTCTCATCCAAGGAGCTTCTTCAGCTCTGACAGTGGGGAATGGAAGGATTTATATTCCTTGCAGGATTTATAATCCTTCCATTTCTCATTAACCTGTCAGAGCTGAAGAAGCTAAACGTCTTCAAAGAAAAAACAAAGTCCAGTTGCCTCCTGAAAAAACACCTTTGGGACAACCATGACCTGGATGACTGAGAATCTCTTTGTGAGCAAAAATTATGTGAGGTTTCTGTTTTTCCAATGTTAAATGCTACTGGAATGTGTTAATTCGATGTGTTAGATTTAGAGGATTTTTGCCATCATGATTTAAAATAGAGACCAGTTCACACGGAGGGATGAGCATCAGATTTTCACATTTTTCTTTTCATGGTTTAGAATTCAGCCCTTTTTTGTTGTCCAATTTTTTCCAGGACAAAGCTTTGCTGATCAACCATTTTATTTTCAAGTTCTCAGTGGCATTTGTTCACTTATTATCATTCTACAAATCACAATATTTTTAGGTATCTTAAAATTTATTGCAGCAACAGGAAACAGCCAAATAGATGCTCAAACCTTCCACTTACATCCCTGGAAATACATGCCCCTCTTAACTTCCACAGTAATTAAGATCCAAGTTCCCACGCATCATGACTATGAAGATGTTAAAGAGGTAATCTGACAAAGTATCAAACAGAATCTGGCTTCTTTCAAAAGAAATCATAAATTAAAAGCAATTTATTTCAAAAGTAGCAAGATGAATATCCCTAGTTCAATGATCAACCAAAAAATCCCTTTTACTACATACTTCTAATTGTTGCAAAACAGGGACTGCACTACCAGATACAGTTAACACTGATACTGGGTACCAGACAATCCACAGAACTAATTCTGCATACAAGACAACAGTTCATGACAAACCCACCTTCATTCTTTTACAGCTTGTGCAAAATAGTTCCCAGGGACCATGACCCAAGGTTATAATGCTAGGATCCAAAGATTGGTTACTTCTAGATTCCCATTATTTAAAGTATTATATTAAAAGTACTGGGAGCACTTATTTTGAACTGTGGGCATTTGAGGAATTTCAAGTTAAATATTAATAAATATTTAATTCAACTCATGCAAGACAGATACGAAACAAAAGGTCATCTCAATTTTTATAATAAAGGCAACTTGCATTCTAAATGAACTGTACCCTTATGTTTTATTCAAAGGGTAAACGTGAATTAAACCCAGCTGTTTACTTGAATTACAAAAGTAACATGATTCAATATGAAAATAAGAAACTGTCTACAAATCTCTTGACAGTAGTAAATTGCAATATACAATGCATATAGGAGTTATACAGAGCAACAAACTCTTGTACAAAACAAAAAAAATATTTTAATACCTTTAAAATCCAATTTCTTTTAAAATCACTCCTGAAAAAAGGTTTGAATCAGAGTTCACATCTCAGTTAGTCAAGCCTCAGGAAGCTACATTACAACTATTGAATATACAAAGTGACATTTCTTTCTTCGCTAGCCAATTCAAATTCAAGTTCTCTTTTCTTTAGCATTCCTTGTTAATATTTCTTACTTGTCTAAAGCCTTCAAGTCATGAGAACTGAATTTGCTGAACACCAGGAATCTAGAGAATAGAAAACAAATACACATTAATTTCCAAAATCAATCCAAAAACTCATTTGTTTGTGAGATCTATTGTAGTGATCTTAGCAATAACACACTTTTTCATTGTACTGATGGAAATATTTTAAAAAATTAAGGAGTGGGGAGGAAGGAAATGCAGTACCTGTTGATAGGACGTTGTATAAACCATGACATTTTGTTGTTGGCCATCTGTAGTTATCAAACCTGCTGGCAACTGGTTAGCTAAGTGAGAAAAATAGCATTGTTAGAAGATTTCTGCTCATGTAGAATTAAATACCAAATCTAAGTTAAGTATCTACCATTAGACAGTGTCAAATCTGATCTCTTTCACTAATATGTACTGGAACTGCAACCTGATAGTACCAGATGAATGTTAGACCTTCCTAACAAGAAACTGAGAGTTCCACTATGAACTAATTTGGAAGATAAAAATACACAGTAGTATGAATAAAAACATTAAATAATATATTAACTGTCTCACCTTACAGTTGGAAGACAGATTGATTCTTTACAGTGCATTTTAATATTTTCAGTTTTTTAAAACACGACTGTTTTGAAGTACATCATCGTACTTTAACGGAAACATGTGCTCAAAGGTTCTCTATCCTCTTTTATAATTGTTTGTCTATGTCTGGCAAATATTTTTTGAATAACACACACACACAAAACAGAACAGAACAAAACAAATATGCCTGATCAGTCAACAGGGCAAGTTCCATCAAATGCAACAACCTTGTCAAATTACATGCAATGTTTCTGACAAAACAGCCTGGTTTCAAAGATATACATCTACTAACTTCAGTCATCAAGTTTCACATACTTGCTGCTCCATGTTCTATCTTCCACCAATCTACTCCCAAAGTTTCTCTGAGCATTTTAAAATTCTAATAAAATACAGGTAGTCCTCCACTTACAATTGAGCCCAAAATTTATGTTGCTAAGTGAGGCATTTGCTAAGTGAATTTTGCCCCCATTTTATGACCTTGCCACATTTGTTAAGTGAATCACTGCAGTTGTTAAGCTAGTAACACAGTTGTAAAATGCATCTGGCTTCCCTATTGACTTTGCTTGTCAGGAGCAAAAGGTGATCACATGATCCCAGGACACTACAACCATCATAAATGAGTCAATTGTCAAGCATCTGAATTTTGATCACATGACCATTGAGATGCCACAATAATTGTGTGAAAAATGGTCATAAATCACTTTTTTCAGTGCTGTTGTTAACTTTGAATGTTCACTAAACGGACTATTGTAAGTTGAGGACTACTGGAGAGAGAGGAACACCATGATTAAAAATTAGACACTTTTTTTTTATAGTGTTTATATAAAGGTCTCTCTGCCTTACTTTCAAATATTCTTCCTCTCATTCAGGAGGATCATCTAACCTTCAGATGAACCTTTTTGGGCAATAGGAAGAGAGGAAGTAAGCTTCTATCAGCAATGCTTTGATCTGCATTCAAACAATCCTCTAATCAGTATAGGGATTTTTTTAATTCAGTCAATACTTGGAATATAATTCAGTGAAGAAAACAACTGCAATTAATGCAGTTCTGTTGTGATAAAGTTTTATCAGAGAATTCCTCCTTTCCTGCCCGATTAGATTTTCTACCAGAACTATGTACAATTAATAATTATCTTCAGCCACTCAAAAGTATCTGTATTCTACTGGAAAAAATGCAAAGTACAAAACGAGTGGAAGATATCTAATTAAAAGCTCAATGAACTCTATGCAAAAGAGAGAGACAGCTGTTATCAAAATGCAAAGAATGCTATTAAAAAATGCTTTACAATGGGATCTTTCTTGTGAGACATCAGAACTCTGCATAGTTTAAATATAACCCATAATGAAAGAAACATTTGTTTTCTACAGAAACTTTTATTAAAACAATTCTGTCTTACAATAAGAATGCAGTTAGTTTTAGGTAAATTACACCACTGTTACCGTCTATCAAGTTTCAGGTAAACAACTGTGTATTTTAAACCGAGTATTTCAAATTAATTTTCAATTTAATTTTACATAGTTGTATTGTTTCATTATCTTTTCTTCATTATAATCAGCATGAGATTCTCTGGACAGGACATAACTATTTCAAATAAATAACAATGCTGACTTGAGATCAAAGACTACTATTTGTGAATGAGGGATATTTGAAAAAATAACATCGTTTCTATATGCTTCAGTAAACAATCCAACAGCAGCAGAAGAATTGCTTTGTCTCTGTGTTTTCATTAAGGAATAAATCTTCATGCATCAAAATTTATGTTATACTATCTCACATGTAATTTTCAATGGAAATTCTCCTCATTGGTAAATCATTTATAGTGATAGCAACAAGTGAAGTACATCAATATGAAATCTTGCTCAAAAATTGTAAATCACTCAATATAATTCCTTGTTCATTTCGTTTCAATCTTGTTTTCAAGGATTCATGAACAAGCTAAGGTAACACTTGGCTTGTGTCCATTTGTTCAGTGAACTGTTCAAGATTACAGTGGTGCTGAAAAAAATGGATGTATAACCAATCCTCAAAGTTCTGGCCACTGCAGCATCCCTGCAGTCACTTGATCACACTTGACTGCCTAACTCACACTTATAACATTGCAGGGAGCCACGGTCACGTGATTGCCATTTGCAACCTTCCCTGCCAGTTTCCCACAAGCAAAGTCAATGTGAAAGTTGGCAGGGAAGGACACAGATGGGTCCAGCCCCCTGGCCACCCTGGACTCATGTGCAGCCTGCGCTGGATCTCCTCCTCTACCCATGCTACTTACCTGGGACTCCTGCCACTTTTTGCTTAATGATCTGGAACTTGGAATTATTATGGCAACTGGAAATGATAGCAACTGGATTGCTATCACTAAGTGATGAGGTCACATGACTGCGCTTTGCTCAGTCCCTAATCCAAGTACTACCTACATATAGCATCAATATTTTGTGGACTGCATGTACTTTGCCATTAAACTGTCGCATAAATACTGGCTATAGTTCAATACAATTAACAAGCCTATTTAATTGTAAGTATTAAGCAACAATTACCACATCTGCCCCAGTCAGTATTAGAAATACAGTACTTACTAAATGCTTCCTCTGTGAGCTCCTCACTAAGGCCGTCTGCTGTGGTAACTGTTCCACCAATGCCTTTTTCTCCCTTCATTGCCTTGAAAAACAGTAATGGTTTACATATAATACATGCATTTTCTGCAATTCACAATACAATCAAATAAGTTTGAAATCTCTCTTTCTCTCTTATGCAAAAGACTTTTCCTAATAGGAGCCTGTTGATTTTGCCTCATCACTGATCATATTAAATATTCATCTAGTAGGTTTTCTGGACAAGCTTCTTGGACAAAATGGCAAATTAGGCAGATGTTTTGAGAAATTTTCCCATACTACTGCCAGCTCAGTCTGTCTTAACCAGAGGCTGATGTGAGGTTCTGTCTTCCAACTTGCTATGAATAGCTATTTATAGAGAGAAACTGCAACAATAAGCACCATTCCTTATTATGAGATACATATGTATAAACTCTGCTCCACTCTGTTCATTCTTATCATTATGGTAAACAAAGTACAAATAAAACAGATGTGAAGTAAGGCCACAAAACCTCCTCCGCAATAAAACAGTGCAAATAAGAGAGGGAAGAGAAGAAAGGATGTGCTGTGTCACCATTTATATATTTTAGTTTGATTTCTTGGAGATTCTCATCCATTTTCTTCTCAGAACCTAACATGTTAAATTAGGTTCTGTTTTGCACTAACTGCAAATGTTGATTAACCCACATTGTTAAAGCAACAAATTGGTAAATACAAGCTGCTTTTTTAGTCTAGTCCGTGTGATACAAACAATAGGAATATTTTTTCTACTATAAATATATACACTTGTATAGTAAAGAAAAAATACTGCAGTACAGGTAAAAAGTGATCTTTTCCAATAGGAACACATACAAATTACCCAGCTATCTTTACTTCCAATACAAATACATTTAAGCATACAATGAAACAGTTGCAAATAGAATTACAAACCTCTCTAAACTTCTGAAGATACAACTTCAATGGTTCAACATAGCTATCAAACCCCAGAGTAGACATAGCAAAGAGAATATCTTCTCCATTTATTGTCTTCCGTTTCTCTTGATGACACCTCTCACTTGCTTCTGATGTAATAAAACTGATGAATTCACTGACACACTCCTGCACACATTCCTTTGCATCTTTAGCAATCTAAAATATACACAATGTACATTAACGTATTTTTAAACTATCATTTTCCAAAAAGATAAAAATTATAATAACCCCCTCCAAAACATAATAAAAATATATAAAAGGCATAATAATGGAGCATGTCTAAAATATAAAAACAAGGCAGGCAGATACAGGGAGGTAATGTTCTTTCAGACATTTAAGCCCAAAAATATTTTGATCTTTAAAGATCAAATGAGGCATTCATATGGACTGGGAATCAAATCAGCAACCCATTCAGCTTCTCCAGGATCAATGTAACATAATCAAGTCTGCCTGAACCTGTTAGAAATGTACACATCTTCCATAATAGCTGACATTTTCCATTATCAGAGATAATGGTCAACCAACCTTATGTAAGGATAGTTAAAGCTGGTAAAGACTCTCCTGTTAATAAAATTAGTGCGGTCCCAAACAATGCATTTAGATCAAGAACAACCAAATGACACATCTTCTGTTCAAGAGGAAAATAGGGTATGTAACAGATTCCTGGACACAGGAAACTTATATAAAGGCATCTATTCTACTGGAGTTTTGCTTTGGTTTGCTGATTCTCATCCATGTTGTTACTAGATCCAAGTACTAGTGACATCTTACTTGATTTAACCAGTGTCCCATCTGATTCAGATGACAAGCAGATCAGAGCTGAATATTAAAATATTGATATCTTTGTGCCAAATTTCCCAGTTGTACTTCTTAACAGAAGTACCATGTACTCTAACAGAAATGTTGCAGAACCATTTTTAGAAGCTCACCCTGCCCCATGAATGGACATTGATGCCTAATCAAAGAGCCAATCTAGCTAGTTATCAATCCCTATTATATTAAAAGCCATTAATGTTTAAAATAATATAATAATCTCTCAATTAATTCTTAAGTATACTAAGAAAACTAACAAAACATGCATTTTATACAGAGAATTGGAAAGTGGAAAATATTTTTAAGAGCAAAACACTTCCAAAATAAGCAAAGTAATCCATTTGCAAAGCAACCATATTGAAAATGGTTGAAACTCAAAACACTTTGCGTGCCATTAAATGAAAAATAAATGTTATTTTATTGAAGGAATGCTTCTGAGAATTATTAATTATTGACATTTTTTTTCTCAATATGAAAAATTACCTGGCAATTTCCTTTTAAGAGAATGAAACTGTCCCAGAATTTAAAACTTATTTTCCCTCACAAGAGAAAAATGCAAACTTCTATCCTGGACAAGATGGAATTGTAACTAACCACAAGATATGACACTTTTGCCTGTTAACAGAGACTAATAACTCAGCAATACCAGATCCAAAATCCTTAATCTGGATTTGAAATATGGAATACTATCAAAAATTTATTTTACATATATTACCTTTCCTGTCTGAGGTATAGCATTCTTCATTATCCTTGCCACGTTTGCAATAGGAAGATATATATCTTGTTCTCTAAAACTCTCTTTGGAACCATTTGTATCTTCATGATCATTCATGCTGTCCTCAGTATCTAAGAAAACACATTAATTACATAATCAGGAATGTTAATCAATGCACTGATACCCAACTGAAAAACCTACACTTATACTTTGTTATAGGTAGTCCTTGAGTTACAACAATAATGAAGCCTGCTCATCAAGGTTGTAAAAGTTTTTTTATTTTATAAATAAACAATACATAATCAGTCATTCAATATATCTTCTAAATACATCTTTTAAGTTTTCTTTTTGCTCCTCCAATATTTATCATATCTTAATATTATAAACAAACAATACATAGTCAATCATTCAATATATCTTCTGAATACATCTTTTAAGTCTTCTTTTTACTCCTCCAATATTACTCCTCCAATATTTATCATATTTATCATATCTTAATATTGTCATTTCCTTTATTATAACATTTCCCCCACTTTACTTACTTCCCTATTAATACCTTAATCTATCTTTTAATTTTATTAAAAATTAGACAACCATTTTATCCCCACACAACCTTCAACCAACCCCCCCCCCAAGCCACTCGGTCTTGGAGGGGTTGAGTCTGAGCCTGTTTCTACCCATCCAGACCCGTACCGCCTCCAGGCACTTAGACATCACAGAAAGGGCATCCCTGGGTTGGTCACATGATGGAGAGTGGCAGCCATCAGAACTTCAAATCTGGATTGTAAGTACCTCCAGGAAGGTGCATTGTAACTTTGAATGTTTGCTAAGCTACTGGTCATAAGTCAAGGGCTACCTGGATTCTTCTTTAAGTGCTTTAAAGAAACTACTAGTTTTTCTTTCATATTTTTACACAACATTTCAGCATTTTAAGAAAGAAAAGATCATGCCACTAGCCTAATACAACCAGCAATATTAAGCCTGCGGCTTAATTTATATCAAAGATGGGATGCTCAGCCTATGAGCAAGATGTCATGAATAGAATAGAATAGAATAGAATAGAATAGAATAGAATAGAATAGAATAGAATTCTTTATTGGCCAAGTGTGATTGGATACCCAAGGAATTTGTCTTAGGTGTATATGCTCTCAGTGTACTAATTTTATGCAGTGTTTGGCCTTCCTTCAAAAGTTCTTTACAACATTTTAATTTAAACACTAAAACAAATCATTTATATCTTCCCTGTCAGCCTCCTGTACAGGAAGAAAGAAAAAGGCATTTCAAACAGAACGGGATACCAAGAAAGGAGAGAATGGGCAATTCTAACTGTTGAAGAATCAATAGATTCTGTTCAACATATTACTTACCATCATGAGGCTGGATCACATAGTGACTACCACCAATATAATCTCCAGCAATTCCCAGCTGTGAAGCATCTGTTGTAGAATTATCACCATCCATCTATAATAATAAGATAATTGTTAAACAGAACATTGACTATATATACACATTACCACCATCATGAATGGCAATATATATAATATCAATAATCTTCTATACCTGAACTTGAACTTTCAGGTATATTAAGAAAAAAATCCCACTGCCATTTCTTATTATTCAGTTCAATTTATCTGCTAAATTGTTTTAGCATGCCAGGATACTATTATTCATGTGTAATGGTATGGCATTTCTTTTATCATCCCCAGGCAGCCAACTTTATTCTTTTGTGGGGCACTTATGCAAACTGAAGTATTTCAGAAGTTATCAAACACATATCAAATGTTAAAGACTTGCACATAAATAATTAATTATCCACTATTTCAAATAACTGTTTCTCAGTGCATTAAGTTCTGTACAATAGAGGCCATTGTTCATTAGGCAATGATAAACTCTTCACAAAACAATGTTGTTACTCTTTGTGTAAATATTTCATGCTTTGGCTCCACTTCAAGAAGCATTATACTGAATTACAAAGAGAATTACTGCCACTTCCATAAATAAGGATTGTAATAAAATTACATAAATTTAATAATTTGGGGGGAGGTTCCTTTTTGAAAATTTATGCGTGTATGTATCTCAATCAATATTATATTTGTTTTGGTCCTTTTTTGTTATTAATTGAAAAGCAACAAAATAATCTCAATTCCCCCCCTGCCAAGGAAGCATCATCTACTGCTGTTTTACTAGGCCAATATTGGAATAAAACTAATCTAACCTGAGAAGGGGCTTTCTGCTCTGAGTAGTTCACACTTGAAGCAGACAAAGTGGATGGAAGTAGGAAGACAGCCACCCTGTGACTCAAAGGGTGCCCAGAGAGGAGTGTGAAAGAAGTGGGCTGAAAGGGATGGGCATTCAGTTAAAGAGCTGCTTTGATCACATGCCAAATTACAGCAGTCTTTCCCTTGCAAACTGAAGAGGGATACAGCACCAGACCACTGAACAAACTGCTTTGGATTGCTTGACAAGAGCCAGACATTTGTACCAGAGTAGTTCTCTCTCATTCCAGCTGGAAGAGAATGGTCAGCTCTGCACTGGTATCCCTAACATAATGCCAGGGCACATTCACCCATGTTTCTCTGCTCAGAGAATGGCTGCAAATGATCCAGCCTGTCCACCCAAGTGATTACAGTCAATAGGAAGAGAGTGAAGACATGATCATAGCAGCAAGAGGAAGAAGACATGTCAACAAACCATGACAGATTATTGTCAGAACTGATTCTCTAATGCAGATAATGCTTCTGGATATGTCCACATAGACCACGTCGTCTAGTGACCTATCACAACTTTTTCCACCTTTGCTAAACCGGGGTGGGCGTGGTCAACATGTGATGCATCCAGCTTGTGGGCTATGAGTTTGATACCCCTGACATAGACTATTTGATATCACTAGAAAAGTGGCATCCCTCTGGGATATTTTTTCCTAACATCTGTAGCTTGCAGTCCTGGGCCTTCCTAGTACAGTATTTCAGTCAAGTCCTGTGTAGTGTCTATTCAAGTGTTCAAGATGTGTTAAAATCAGCTATCACATCTGAAAGTGCCAAAAGTGTCCTTATCATATTTTCATCAATCTTAATTTATAATACAATTATTAAATTTCTATTATGCAATTAGGTAGGGAAAGCATTTTTACATTTTGAGAAATGTACTTTGAAAAGTTAGATGTGAGATATTACAGTTCTAATCCAACACATTGTTATCTATGGATTTCATCAAGGTCAACTAGACTTAACTTCTAAGAAAATGTATCCCATTGTGAAGATAATCAATCTTTGATATCTTTCTTCAACTATATCATGAATTCATGTATAGAATTGCAATGTTAGATAAACTAACATAAACTGTCTTTTCAATAACACTAATAGTACATTAACAGTATATTAATTTATTTTATATAAATCTAAGTACATATATTTTGAGTTAATTTTAAAGACAATAATGTACATTGCTTATTAGTAACTATATTGAATATTATCCCTTCCAGTTTTCTATGCCCTTTTAAAATTATATTTGACAAATGATGCAATTATTCCAAGTTTCATATGTTTGGAATGTTATTAATTGCAAAAGCATCTCTGTGTGTGCGTGTGTTGGAAGGTCAGTATTTTAGGGGGCAAAAAAGGAACAAGAGCCAATAAGCATATAAAGGTAGTCCTCAACTTACAATCACAATTGAGCCCAAAATTTATGTTGCTAAAACATTTGTTAAGTGAGTTTTGCCCCATTTTATAACCATTCTTCCACAGTTGTTAAGTGGATCCCTGCAGTTGTTAAGATAGTAACACAGTTAAATTGACTTTGCTTGCCAGACAATCACAAAAGGTAATCACATGACACTGCAACTGTCATAAATACAAGTCAATTGGCAGGCTTCTGAATTTTTATCATGTGACCATGGAAATACCGCAATGGTCATATTACTTTTTCAGTGCCATTATTAATTTTGAATTGTAACTAAATGCTATTGTAAGTCAAGGACTACCTGCATTAATCTCAAGTCTAACAAAGTACAGACAATTGGACAGATTAATTGGTATATATTTTGTCATCCAGTGAATGATTTATGCTGAAACTTTTAATAACCTCACTTGAGATCCATGACTTGCTTTTGAACCGTTATAGTCTTTGTTATTCATTTGCTTTACCAATGAGCAGAACACCAGAAAGGATCCGTATCAAACCTACGAATTTTCTAATAAATATCGATCAGTAATTCTGGGAACTAACAGGCCGTACACATTCTGCGTAGCGGATCAAACACTTTTAATACTAATAATTTCTGTCTAAATCAATTAACACAAACATAACCCAGAGAAAAAACATGCAAGGCTCCCTTATATATATATATATATATATAAAAAAGTCAGAGAAATCCGATGAAATATTTGCACTCTTGATAGGTTCACAAGCATTTACTCACATGGTCCCACCTTAAAATTAGGCAGGCTGGCTGGCAAAACAACAACAAAACCCTGATCCCACAACACCCATCTGCCGTAGTTGTGTGTATGTTTTAGACAGGGGAAGAAAAAAAAAAGAATTACTCATAAGTGGACATCCAATTGGGTGCGTTGAATCCTTTCAGGCCGGGAGCGATAAAGGCCCTTTGACAACGAGGGAAGGTGGGTGGGTGGAGGAAGACGCACGTGGGAGACGTAACAAGAGAAAACAACAGCAACGTCTGAATGCTAATAAATGCGCAGAGAAAAACACGAGACCCAGCAGGAGGAAAGGAAGAAAAAAAAAAAGCTTTCGGGCAATTAAAATAGCAGCCCCATGCCGCCCCCCACCCACCCACCCTCCACCACCACCACCCACCTTTTAGGGCCGCCGTGCCCGGACGAATGCATCATCTGGCTGGGGGGGACTGCGGGAGCCCTTTTATGACAGCGTCCCATTTCCCCTTCTTGGAACCGCCAAAAGCGCAGAGGAGCAGCGCGACGGAGGGTCGGTCGGGGCAGGCGAGGGGGGGGCCCCACAAACCCCGCACCCCCTCTTCTTTTTAGGCCGAGAAGCAGACAAAGCGGGTCGGCTTAAAAATAAAGCCCAACTCCACCCGAGGAGGGAAACGGGGGGGGGGAGGAACGGGGGGGGGGGCACCCCCCCCCGTTACGATAGTCCCCCCCCAAATAGCAAGAGGGGGGGGGCCCCGCCGTTGGGGGACCCCCCCCCCACCCGGGTCGGGGAGAGGGCGCGGGAAAAAAAGGGGGGGGGGGAAGGCGAGGACGGGTTTGCCCCGCAGGCGACCCAGGATGAGGCACCGCCGCCGCCGCCTCGCTCGGGCCTCGCTCTGCCCCCCACCCCGCTCTCCGCGTTTTCAAGGCCCGGCCGGCCGGCCGGCTGGCCAGCGCCGCCATCTCGGCTTCTCCTCCCCTCGCGGCGAGAGCAGAAGACGCGGCACAAAGAAGCGGGCCCGGCGTGGGCTCCGCTCAGCTCCGGCCGCTCGTCTTTTTTTTTTTTTTTTCCCGGGCCCCCCCCCCCCACACTTCCTGGTCCCCTCAGCGGCGGCGCGGCGGCAACGCCGGAGCCCGGGGAGGGAGACGGACATTTCATTCGAGCCTGCAGTGGAACCGGTTAGCAATCATTGGCCGGAGCCAGGCACAAACCTCCAGTGCGGCCCTGGTTGGCTCCCTCCACAAATCGGCTGTTTGGTTGGACAGAAAATGGCTGCGAAGGAACCAGTCCCAGCGCGGAGCACCGCTTCCCGAAGCCGGCCTGCCCTCCCTCCGCGCCGCCTCCTGCCCGCCCCCCTCCCGCCGCGGGAGGCTGTTCCCGCTGAAGGGTTCCCCTCCCGCCGCCTGCCTTGAGATCAGCCGCCAAAACACCGCCGGCGGCCTCTCAGGGAACGGCGTTGCCTTGACCTCGGCTCTTTATACGCCCGAAGGCAGCTGCCGTCTCTCCCCCACCACACACACCCCGTCTGTCGAACCAAGCTGAGAGGAACGACGTGGCAGTCTGTTTTTTCCAGTGGTTTTTTTTTTTTTTTGGTACCCTTTTCCCTCCTTTTTTTTTTTTTTTAACAGGCTAGGGACCTTTTCTCGCGGAAATACAAGAGATATTCTATTCACATGACATGCGAAACCATGGTTTAAGACAGAGGTCTTCAAACTTGGCAGGTTTAAGACTTGTGGATGGCTGAGGAATTCTGGGAGTTGAAGTCCACAAGTCTTAAATCTGCCAAGGTTGGAGACCCCTGGTTTAAGAATTGGCTACAGGGGTGAAATCTAGCAGGTTCTGACAGGTTCTGGAGAACCGGTAGCGGAAATTTTGAGCAGTTTGGAGAACCAATAGCGGAACTGGCAAATACTACTTCTGACTGGCTCCAGAGTGTGGAGGGAATGGAGATTTTGCAGTATTCTTCCCCTGGAGTGATGTGGGAATGGAAATTCTGCAGTATCCTTCCCCTGCCACGCCCACCAAGCCACACCACTCCCACCAAGCCACGCCCACAGAACCGGTAGTAAAAAAAATTGGATTTCACCACTGATTGGCTACCTTGCAAATCCACCGCAGTAGCTGCATTCGCAATTTATTTATTTATTTATTTATTTATTTATTTATTTATTTATTTATTTATTTATTTATTTATTTATTTATTTATTCAATTTATATACTGCCCTTCTCCTAGTGGACTCAGGCTGTATTTTAGCACAGCCAGAACTAAAATACATAACAATACAAAATTTAAAATTAATTAAAAGAATTATATACTTTGGCCCGAATTAAAACAATACGAATTAAAACCCATTAACAGATTAAAACTAAACAATTAATAACAATTAAAAACTAAAAAAGGGGGCGGGGTTCACGTCAGCCCTGCTTGCTAGAAAAGAAGAGTTTTCAGGACACGGCGAAAGACCCGGAGATCCAATATCCTTCTTATCTCCGGGGGCAAATCGTTCCAGAGGTTGGGAGCTGCCACAGAGAAGGCCCTCCCCCTGGAGGTCGCCAGCCGACATTGCCTGGCCGACGGCACCCTGAGGAGTCCCTCTCTGTGGGAGCGTACTGGTCGGTGGGAGGCTATCGGCGGCAGAAGGCGGTCCCGCAAATACCCAGGTCCTATGCCAATATATATATACAATATACAATATATACAATGTATGTTCTGCTGCAAGGAAATCAGGTTTGGAATAGAATATAAAGTTTATTACAGTCATCGACCAGCAATAGACATACAGTAATTTAAAAATAATACTGACATTAATCGTGAATAATAACATCCCTGTTATGAAAATACATGAAATACTTCGTGAGTTAAGATGGTGTTAGAACCGTCCCTCCCAAACCGAGTTGGAAATAAGACAGAATCGTTTGCTTGAAGCAGAGAAGTTTCTTTCCAAAGGCACAGTATAAGATGAGTTGTTTGGAGGTACAGGTAGTCCTCAAATTACAACCACAATTGAGCCCAAAATTTATGTTGTTAAGTAAGTAATTTAAGTGAGTCTTGCCCCATTTTACGACCTTGTTAAGTGAATCGCTGCAGTTATTAAACTAGTAATACAGATGTTAGGTGAATCTGGTTTCCCCATTGACTTTGTCAGAAGTTTGCAGAAGGTGGATCACATGACCCCCCCAGGACACTGCAAAACTCATAAATCAGTTGTCAAGTATCCAAATGTAAATCCAAATGTAAATCATGTGACTGTGGGGATGCTGCAACGGTCATAAGTGTGAAAAATGGTCATGAGTACCTTTTTTCAATGCCGTTGTAACTTTGAATGGTCACTAAGCGAACTGTTGTAAGTGGAGGACTACCTGTACATGTCAATCCCTCCCCCAGTTTCTTGTATAGGAACATTTTCCATTGCTCCTTGAAAGTGCCTGAATAGAGTCCACCTTGGAAAGTGCAATTAGCCTAATGGCCAAAAGGGAGCGCTCTGCTGAGCTTGTGGTTTTTGCCTTTTAAAGGCTTATGGTTTTTGGCTTTGGAAACAAAGAGCCTCATTGTTTATGAAATGGATAGAGAGAGGAAAAGCCTCTGATAGCCTAAACACATTTTATTTGAGAAGTCTGACGCCCTTTCTTATCTTGCTAATTTCAACCTTGGTGATAAATCCTTTTAAGTGTAATTCTAATAATTCGTCCTGAAAATAGTTGAAAGGTTGGATGGCCAAGAGTGAATGAATGGTGGGGGAGGCTTAGTTTCCTTTCTGCAGTGGATACAACCTATATACAGTAATTGACACCTAGGCTTTGGGATATATCCCATAAGGAAAATACAATTTTAGCTAACTTTACAGTGTAAAATAAATCCTTGGCCAGAGTTCACTAACTAACCTACAATTGCTGAGTTGAGGTAAATGGTTTTCCTCAAGCTGAGTTCACCCTGGAACTTCATGGACATGTCCCTCATGACCATCAGCAGGAGGGCAAGGAGAGGAAAGAATGTTTGCATCATGAAAAGGACATGCCTAATTTACTAGTGTCAGACACCATGATATCATTATATACTTATATTTGCACACTGTGATGCCATGTATCATCAACTGGATGTCATGATGGCTAGTTATTGGCTCTGTTGAGGTCCTAGTGGTTTTCTTGGGAATGATTCTGGAGCAATTTCCCATTTCTATCTTCTGGAGTACCTGAAATACTTCTGGAGTAACAGAAAATAACAGAATAACAGAGTTGGAAGGGACCTTGAAGGTCTTCTTGTCAGTCCACAACCTTTGTGGCTTGGTGGCCTGGCTGGGGGGGAGAGGGGAACTGGGTCGTGTAAGTGGCAGGCTGGTGCATGCACGCATACACACAGCTCAACTTGTGCGAGCAGCAGGCCAACGTGCACTTACGAGTGCCCGCTAGTCTGCTACTTGCGCAAGTTGAGTTGTGTGCATGCGTGTTCTGGCCAACCCCTTGCACAGCCCAGTTCCACGGCCTGGTAGTGGGACACTGCCCAAAGGTTGGGGACCCCTGTTTTAGTCCAACCCCCTGCTCAAGTACTTTCTAAAAGTCCATTTTCTAAACATCGATCTTGATGATCAGCTATATGATAAACCACACACACAAAAATGTGTGTTGCGACTTCATAGCACAAATCCAAATTGCGTTTATGCCAAGATTTGGATGCAAATCTTGAGTCATGGTTTGTATTACAACAGGGGTGTCAAACTCGATTTCATTGAGGGCCGCATCAAGTTGCGTTTGACCTCAGGGGGGCATGGTGGGCATGGCCAGTTTGACATCACTCGTGTCAGGGGTGCCTGTGGTGGAAAATGAAACCAACAGTCTAGTGCAGGTATCTCCAACCGTGGCGACTTTAAGACATGTAGACTTCAACTCTCAGAATTCCCCAGCCAGCAAAGCTGGGAATTGAAGTCCACAACATTTGCTGGCTAGGGAATTCTGGGAATTGAAGTCCACAACCTTTGCTGGCTGGGGAATTCTGAGAATTGAAATCCACAAGTCTTTGCTGGCTGGGGAATTCTGGGAATTGAAGTCCACAACCTTTGCTGGCTGGGGAATTCTGGGAATTGAAGTCCACAATCTTTGCTGGCAGGACAATTCTGGGAATTGAAATCCACAAGTCTTTGCTGGCAGGACAATTCTGGGAATTGAAATCCACAAGTCTTTGCTGCCTGGGGAATTCTGGGAATTGAAGTCCACAACCTTTGCTGGCTGGGGAATTCTGGGAATTGAAGTCCACAATCTTTGCTGGCAGGACAATTCTGGGAATTGAAATCCACAAGTCTTTGCTGCCTGGGGAATTCTGGGAATTGAAGTCCACAACCTTTGCTGCCTGGGGAATTCTAAGAATTTAAGTCCACAAGTCTTTGCTGGCTGGGGAATTCTGGGAATTGAAGCCCACAAGCCTTTGCTGGCTGGGGAATTCTGGGAATTGAAGTCCACAAGTTTTGGTGGCTGGGGAATTCTGGGAATTGAAGCCCACAAGCCTTTGCTGGCTGGGGAATTCTAAGAATTTAAGTCCACAAGTCTTTGCTGGCTGGGGAATTCTGGGAATTGAAGCCCACAAGCCTTTGCTGGCTGGGGAATTCTGGGAATTTAAATCCACAAGTCTTTGCTGGCTGGGGAATTCTGGGAATTGTAGCCCACAAGTCTTTG